AATCTGCTGCAGTAGACCTCTTTAAAGTGTTTAAAAAGCAAAGAGTTCACTTTGAGGACTAAGTTGCATCTGACCTAAGTCATGGTATTTTCAATTGCCTTACATGCAAGCAAAAGTTGAACAATGCATAAAGAAGGCCAATGAAGAACTGATACATTTGAATTACGATGCTGGTAATGAATATTAAATATACAATGGGCTGCCAGAAGAATGAACAAATCTGTCTTGGAAGCACAGCCAGATTGCCTCTAAGAAGGGAGGATGGCAAGACTTCATCTTACGTACTTTGGACATGTTGTCAGGAGGGACCAGACCCTGAAGAAGTACATAACACTTGGTAAAGTAGAGAGGGTTAATGAAAAAGAGAAAGACCCTCAATGAGATGGCTTGACACAGTAGCTGCAACAGTGGACTCAAACATAGCAATGATTGTGAGAATTTACAGGACAAGGCTGTTTCATTCTGTTGGGCATAGGGTCAGAGTCAGAACCTACTCAAAGGTACCTGACAACACCACTCACGAGGCCGTTCCTTACAACCTCCCTAAGGCTCCAGACAGGCATTTGTTTGTTTACTTTGCTTGCAGTCATACAGGAAAGACCAGTCTGTTCTGGATTCTGCAACCTGCTGACCTGGGAGTTGACATTCTCATCTCCCTTTCCTCCCCTCTCCACATGGTCAGCAAAATGGCATTAGTTTATTCACTGGAGATATACAAAGGTCAAATTTTTCACTCTGAAGATTATCTTCCAGAAATATCTGCTCCAGAGTCTCCCTGCCTGGCCAGACAATAGGGATTACCTCCTGTTAACCATTCCCAAAGGCCTTCACCAATTTATAAGGATGACCTGGGGGCCCTCCAAGGTCTTAAGTTTCCTCATTCAACAACAGAATCCTGGTATTGTATCCTAATTTTTTTAAATAAAAGAATCCATATATATGAGGAATGGTACCTATGGCTTTCCTTCAAGCTTAGCTTGAAATACTCAGGAAGACCAACACAAACAATGTAAGAGTTTCCATTCATGAAACAGACAATTACTGAGCACCGTCAAAGGGGAAGGCAAAGTGCCAGGTGCTAGAGGTGGAGAAACATGGTTCATTCCAGTTTCACTATGAAGGCAGGTGAACAAAAAAGACTAGAATAAAGGAAATGCTTTAATGAGATAAAGGAGTCCCTGGAAGGTACAAACAGTTAAATGCTCAACTACTAACAAAAAGATTGGCCATTCAAATCTACCCAGACAAGCAGACCAGCCTGGAACAACTAGCGGAACAGAAGATACTTCTTGAAAGAAAGACCAGCAGGAAAACTCCAAAACAAAAATGGCAGTCTGATTGGCTACTACAAGAACAAGCAAGATGTTCACCAGGGAGCCATCAAGGCAAGTAATCAAGTTCCTTCAGGACAAACCCTGCAAGACTGAAATTCAAAGGGAACACATTAGCAGGTATGTTGTAGTGGTTACAAATCGGGGTGGAAACTACCAGCTGTTCCGCAGGAGAAAGATGAGGCTTTCTGCTCCCATACAGATTTATAGCCTCGGATGACTCCACGGCACATAACCAACCAACCACCAAAGCTTGCTGGCAACCACGTTGATCTGCTGGTAAATGGAAGTGGGGGAAAGGCAGCAATGAAGATATGGACTGAGTTCGACCACGTTCCATAGACTCCTGTCAACCTGGATATAAGAGATGGAGGAAGGGCTGGTTAGTCCAAGGTGTGGTGAGGCCGGGGGATTCCTTGGAGAAGGACATAGCCACAGACGGCTAGAGCTGAGAATGAAGCATCCGGCTGATATAAATAAAGTGAGGGGAGTCTAGCATAAGAATTCTCAAACTTGCAGACAGTACCCATTCGACCTAGGTTTGATGGCTTGATGATCAGAACTCGACTAGAGGAAGATAAAAAAAAAAAAATTTTTTTTTTTGATAAAGGAAACGAGTTTAAATTGCTACAATTTGACAGACTTAACCTATACTTATGGATGTAGTAGCTCAAAATACCAACTGAGAGCAAAGGAGTCTTCACATCAAATATCAATCCTATCCCTTCTGTATACAGGGTTGATAGAGACAGGCAACTTAGACATTGGATGCCTAAAATGGGGGTGCTATAAAGACACAAAGTGACTGGCTTACCAGTTTTCAAGAGGGAGTCTAGTTTAAGAGTGCTCAGGGAAAGGTAGAATCCCCACTGAATAGTTTTCATCTTGTTTAGACAGGTCTGGTGGAAGGAGATGGGGATAAGATTCTTATGATTCTATAGTGAGTAATTGTTATCCTAATTGTGATTGTCACAACTGTAAAGGTAGAAATTTTATAACAAAAAGGCGGGAATAGTTAAACTTACAGTTCAGGAACAGAGGACCCTAGGACCATCAAGGGAGAAGCACCCAAGCAGAATGTGGGACCCCATCCAGAGAAGCAGTGACACCAGAGATGGAGGTAGAGATTAGGACATGAAGAGAGAGAGAACAGCTGAGGACTCTAGACTCATACAAAGAGAAAGACTGGGCTGGCAGCCAGGAAGTAGACTTGCAGAACCTTTGGTTGTTGAAATGATTATATATTCCTGAGTGTTTTTGTGTACATTCCAAGGGAAAAAAAACAACAGAGAGAATAGAAGCAAATACTGTTGAAAGATGATGCACAGAGGAGACTGCAATCATTGCAATGAAATGATGAGTGTAAAACCAATATTCTCCCATGTAAAGTATCACTCAACTCACAATAAAAACTTAGTGGTTACGAATCGGGCTACGAACCTCAAGGTCAGCAGTTCAAAACTACCGGCTGTTCTGTGGGAGAAAGATGAAGCTTTCTGCTCCCGTAAAGATTTACAGCCTTGGAAACCGTTTACCAGGTCGCTATGAGTTGGAACTGACTCCACAGCACATAATCACCACCACCTCAAGCCATCTCAGAAAGTCCTAATGATCTGCTTCCAAAAGATCAACCACTGAAAACTACCCACTAGAGTCTAGTTCTATTCGGTCTTACATTTGGGGACTCCATGAATTGGAATTGACTCAGTGGCAACTTACTTGCTTTGCGTTTGGGTTCTGATGGAATAACAGCATCATCCTCATGAGAACAAAGAAAAGAATTTCGTTTCACTGGAGATGTAAACAATGTTAGGAGTCTTGAAGTTAAGTTGGCCTTGCTGAGAGGACAGGAACTCTCATTTGAGAATGCCATCTGTGATCTGTTTTTTATGTCATTGTGTGGACAATGTGTGCCACATTCAAAGAACCGTGATACAAGTAAAGAGAGAAGAGGTGAGGTCAGACTGGGGCAGATGCTATAAAACTATCTTGTCAGGTTGAGAAGCCTGGGTTTCTGGACATATTAATGCGAAGCAGGAAGGAGATTCATCCTTCGAGCAGTGGTGTGAAGAGGGGGTTGCAAGGATGAGGCTGTTGACGTGCAGACCAGCTGGGAGACGACTTAAGTAATCCACTAAGGGCTGACACAGTAGAATGGACTGTGAGAACACCGGGGTGAAACAACAGGGATTTGCAACCATGATATGAAAGATGGAAAGCATATTGCCTTTGAATGCTGCTATTGTATATGGAACACTTAGCTGGATTCCATGGAATGGCTGACTTTTGCTACTTACTAGTATGGTGATTGGTTGTTCCCATGCAGCATTAAAACCATACTTGGTTTAAACTCTTAAGATCCTTGACTTAAGTGGGGGCCATTTCAATCCTCATTTTACAGATGAGAGAAGCAAATTGGGGAGGCTGTGTCCTGACCTGGGCAACCCACCTATTAAGTGCAGAGCTAGGAAAAGCAATCACTCTTGTCCCATTACAATCAAATGAGACACAAATATAACCAGTGTACATGGGACAGAATTCATAGAACTTTATACCATGAGCAATGTTGGAAGGTGTTTTGCTGATAATGACCATTTCAAAAAAAAATGATAGTTAAATCTTTTTTTTGTTTTGTTTTGTTTTGGATGCATGCATAGGGTTTAAGTTTTACACCTTTCATTAAATGAAATTCCCACTATCAGGTACTATTTTCAAATACTGGACTGCTAGCCCCAAAGTCATCCATTCAAATCCATCAGTCTCTCCTGGGAAACCCTACAAAAGATCAATTTCCAGGTGTCTTTAGCAGAGCATCTCCTTTTCATACAAAATGGTACGTGGTACCAGATATATAAATAAAAATATAACTGAGCTAATCTGGGTTTAAAAAATTATGAAACTCGACAACACTTAACAACATCATTTTCAAACTCAAGTTGTTTATTCCCATCATAAAGTTTAAAAAGAACAATTTGTCTAAAAATCAGGTAGAGGGGCCCACTGACAAGGGCTTAAATGTCTTAGTACTTTAATGTTCTCCACACATTCAACATAAAATACTGACAATGGATACACAAGAGGGAAAAGACTCTTGAGCACAGATTCTTCTGGAACTCACAGTATCACCCTGGTTAAGCACAATAAAGAGAGCAGTCAAGTGAACACAGAATAAGGGAGTTTAACAAAGATTTTTAGTTTGAAGGCATTATTAAAAAAAACAAACCACAAACCAACTGAACAACCTCCTCTTCTAGCTAATGAAAAGAGATTAAGAGTGAAGTACAGAACTTCTAAATCTCTTTTCTCTGAAGTGGTTTATAAAAGGGACACACACCAACACTGCTTATGTAAGTACCAGGTCAAGGATTCTAACAAATTCTTCGTCTCTACCTATGTCACCAAGAACCACATTACTAGAAATATAAATGCAGAGAGATATAAACTATGTGATATTAAAAAACAGATGTTCTATATAAAATACAGTATGCCACTTTTATCTCTTTATGTGAGTAACGGTATAAAGAAAGACCTAGACATCCCAAATGCTCACCTAGTGGTCAATCTTAAATGGCTGCAGAACCCAGAGATTCCACCGTTGCCATTTCAGAAAACATCTAGAGTTAGCACCTAGTGGTTTCCACCCACCCTTCATACTATGAGTTTGTGCGTCTCTAGAAACAATGAACTGCAACTTACATAATTCAGTTCACAGGCAAGTTTGAAAACTAAGATCTACCTAAAAAAAGAAGCAGCAAAGACAAAATAAGCTTGAATTCGTTAGAAAAGCAACAGGAAGGTTTTTCTAAAATGCTTCCGGTTCAAGTCAGAGTTAAAGTAGCCATTACGTCCCACCAGCTCTGCAGAGCTCTTGATGTTTGGTTGTTGTTCTTTGAAAAAAAAAGAATGTATATTAAGTATATTCATTTGAGAAAATACTGTTATTTGTTAAAAGTTTTGTTAATCATTTCCTTGTCATTTTAAATCTCATACATGGTTCAATGACAGAGTATACAGAGGTCAGGGTGTGTTCAAAGCTGATGCATCTCCAAAAAGTTTTTCATGAAGGCTGCCAGCTTCTGAACATCTTCATTGGTGACAGCGTTATAGAGAGAGGCGCGGATGCCTCCCACAGACCTGGAACAACAAAAGACCCAGTCATTAGGATGAACACATCTTACTTAGCACCAAGACAATACTCTTTCCAGTCACCTCCTACTGAGAGTCATAGCACCTGAGACCATGTTGTTCAACCTCCCACCTAAAAGTCCCCACAGATGGCCATGACCTTCAGATATCTCAGTCATTGAGAAATTCTCCCATATGCACTGAAGATCCACCATGCTCAGCCTTAACTTAGAGGAAAGCAACTCTTCACTCATGGCAAGGAAAACATAGACGGGTGAAGACTTTTAAGTGAAATAGGGCAAGTGACTGCTACCATGAGTAACAGTGATTCACTCATAGATGGAAGAGACTCAAAGAATAGAGGAGGGATTACTGGAGAAATTCTATTCATAGAGTAAGTGTGAAGTTTTCTTTCTGTTGGTATTAAAAGAGAATTGTAAGGCTGTAATGCCGTCTCTCTATGCCTGAAAGGGAAGTAGTCACTGTAATCATGTACTTTGAACCACACGCTAGTTAGCACCTTCCTTCTTCATTGGAGAACCATGAAATCTATTATGCTCCCTTAGGAGGGCAGTTTTCAGTGAGAAATTGCTACATTTGTAAAGAACATATCGACCAGGATGGAATGATTTTATCCACATCTACACAGTGATGACAAAATTGGACTTGACTAAAAGGTTTGGGCAGTCTAATTCTCCACAGCAAAAACTAGAGGCAAATGTCACGGTGCCCATAAAAAATGCCCTGGTGTGTCACAGGGCACTGATCTAAGTCTTTAATTCACCTCCTGGTGTGGGTGGCCTTGCAAAGGTTTCAGATCAACAGAGTCCAAGTGTTTTTTAACAGAACATCTCTTTTTCTCAAACAAAATGGTACATGGAACTCAGATACATAAATAAAAAGAAAACTGAGTTTTAAAAACTATGAAAATGGCATTCAGAGAAAATGCGCCTCCACTGCAATCTCAGGCAGGAAGTCATACGAAGGAATTACAAACAACAGGAGGCATTACCTCCAAGACAACTAACTGGTTTTCACCAACAATTCCGTAAGTGCTGCTTGGAGCTAGTCAGGGTCAGGCCCCAGGATACACTTCATTCTGCATGTGAAAAATGAAATCAACTCTCTGAGGAGCTTCAGGATCAGATGTAGACTCACCTGTGGCCTTTCAAAGACAGCATATTGTGTTCAAGAGCTTTATCAAGAAATCTTTTTTCTAGAGCATCATCTCCTTTGGCATTGCCAATGCGGAATGGGATATTCATCTTGCTTCTATTCTCGGGCTCCACTGGACATCTAAGAAACATGTTATTGTTCCATTTAGTTCTTTTTGTAGAGACAGGCAGGGAATTGTGGCTGTTAGGAGTCACTAAGTCAATTCCAATTCAAAGTGACCTTGTGACAGAATAGAACTCTACCATAGACTTTTCTAGGCTGTAATCTTTACAGGAAGGAGCTCTGGCAGTGTAGTGGTTACGAATCAGGCTGCTAACCTCAAGGTCAGCAGTTCGAAACTACCAGCTGTTCAATGGGAGAAAGATGAGACTTTCTACTCCCATAAAAATTTACAGCCTTGGAAACCCTGTGCAGGTCACTATATGTTGGAACCGACTCCATGGTACTTAACAACAACAATCTTTTCAGGAGGCACACTTACAGGATAAACACTGGACTGTGAACCACAAGATCCGCGGTTCCAGCCCGGCCAGCCTCTCTGCAGGAGAAAGATGAGGCTCTCTGCTCCCGAGATTTAAAAATCTCACAAACTCTACACAGGGTTGCAATGAGTCAGAACCAACTTGATGACACTTAACAACAACAATCTTTACAAAAGGGGCCCTAGTGGTACTATAGAATAAGCACAGGACTGCTAACTGCAAAACTGGCAGTTCACATCATCAGTTGCTCCATAGTCTTTTTAACCCCCACCAAATGATTAGGTTGGACCATGCAAATAGGGTGTTAAGGACTCTAAGGCAGGAATTAGTTTTGCCATCCAGCTAGGTCTAAAAGGAGCGATCTCAAAAGCATCCTGTGTGGGGCTGTAGGATAAGAACTGGACGCAAGGTCAGCAGTTCAAACTCAACAGTCATTTCTCCGAAACCCTACACAGGGACCCTATGAGTTGGAACTGGCCTGATTGCACTTAACAACAGCATTTCAGAAGCAAGAACAGAGAATCTCAAGACCATCAATAAAGACGAACCAGGGATAATGAAAGATCCCTGTGTGGAAAGGATGTGGTAGCAGACAAACACAATGGCAGGCTTCCTGGCCCGCAGAGAAATAAATACTAAAAAGATCAGTATTTACTCCAGTTTCACAGGTGGATTTTGGGCAGGAGGCTGGCTTGCAGAATGAGGTAGCCTTTGGGCATTTATCTACAGGACTAAAGAAACTTGTACCATTTGCCCAAGTGGCTGCATGGTGAAAGGCTGAGAATTAGAAGGCATTCCTGTGGTGCAGCTGAGAGGCGCTCCTGACTGGAGAACTGAGTTGTCTCTGATCTTGAACCTTACCTGTTAACTTCCTAATAAGCCCCATCATTGTGAGTATTTTCTGTGAGTTCAGTGTGGCCATTTGAAGTAGCGTATAGTAGGAGGAATGGTGCCAGAGCAGGATAGAGAATGTTGTTGAGGGGAGACACAGCTGATCTCCACCTCATAGGAATTGACCTTGGACTGATGTGGTGTTTGTGAAGCTGGAGGAGGTCAGACATGGTTCCCCACTCTTTCTTTAGTGACGCAGCTAGCAACAACTGCCAGACATGTGCGGGTGGTTATTTTAGACCATCTGGCTCCCGCTGAATCCCCAGACGACTTCAGTCAAATGAGGGACTCGAGACTCAGCCAGCAACAGAACCACCAGCTGAGCTCCACCCAAAATCCTGACCCGAAGAAACATGAGCAAATAACACAGTTGTTGTTGGAAGTCATTAAGTTTTAGGGTGTTTTTTGCAGGCAGAAATAAGTAACTGATTCAAATAAGAACAATGTCTAGAAGCATATTAAATGCAGTGTAAGTATTTATTAAATGCAGTAAATTTGCCTTTATATTCGCAGCATCTTATGCAGGGACTACTTTGTATAATCAGAAACAAAACACAAATCCACTACTGTCTAGTAATATGACTCAGAGTAACCCTAGAAGACAGAGCAGAACTGCCTCATAGATTTCCCGAAATTGCTAATCTTTACAGAAGCAGACGGCCTCATCTTTCTTCCTCAGAACGACTGCTGTATTCGAAACACTAACCTTTCGGTTAGCAGCTGAGTGCTCTAGCCACTACAACACCAGGCCCTAGGGCTTCTAGGATGTAAGTGCCGTCACATCAGTTACAAATCATTGCAACCCTGTATAGGGTTTCCGAGGAGCAACTTGTGGGTTTGAACCACTGATTTTGGGTTCACAGTCCAGTGCGTATCCTACAGTGCCACACCAGGATGACTTAGGATGTATAACCTCGTAAAAATGGGTGATGAATGAATTTTAATCTAGAAAATAGATCAGCATTTTACTCCAGTTTTCACATTTAGAAATGAAGCAGCCATAATTACTTTCCATTGACAACCAAACGAGACAAAAAAGCATGCTATCCTGGAATAAAACTAAAGCACAACATGTGAAAACCCTCTTCCTCCCCTTTCTAAAGCATATTCTATTCTATTCTTGTACTTCTACAGGGTAGGACTAACTCATTAAAATTTAACAGCAAATAAAAACAGAGTGAGGAAGCCGCCATTAAAATTACGCTATCCCTGCAGGCGTAAGTGCTCCAGCTAACAGAAGTCCAGTGTACACCTTCCGGCAGGAGACTGTATAAAGAAACCAAATGCACATGGAGCGAAAATCCTAGCCCTCATTCTATATAAGGTGGTAGGTTTCATGGCTGACATTTACATTAAAAATTCAGAGGCTACCCTCTTTTGATATTCTGCTGCCTCGGGTACCCAATTACAAGAGTGGAGCGATATAAAGCACATCTAAGTTAAGGGACTTCTGGTGTGGCACTGTAGGATCAGCACTGGACTGCTAACCACAAGATCGGCAGTTCAAACCCAGCAGCAGCTTCAGTCGCTGTGAGTAGGAACCCATTGATGGCACTTTAACAACAAAATAACAAAGGAGTCCCTAGAAGGAGCAGTTAATACACTTAGCTGTTAACTGAAAGATTGGAGGTTTGAGTCCATTCAGAGGGATTTCAGATGAAGAGTCTGGCAATGCACTGATGAAAAATCAGCCAGAGGAAATTCTACAAAGCCCAGTTCAACTCTTAACACACATGTGATCCATCAAGAGTCGGAGTCAACCCTGACTGCAACTGGGCTTGGTTTCTCTTAACTTACGGAAAAATCTGAAGGAAGAAATAAGAATCTGTGTTTACAGTTCACCCTCCCTGCAAATTTACCCATTCTATCAAGCTCTGGTAGCATAGTGGTTACGACTCAGGCTGAAAACCGCAAGGTCAGCAGTTCAAAACTACCAGCTGTTCCATGGGAGAAAAATGAGGCTTTCTGCTCCCGTAAAGATTTACAGCCTCGGAAACCCAGTACAGGGTCGCTATGAGTCGGAACCGACTCCATGACACATAACAACAACAACAACAACAACAACATCAAGTTAACGGAGTCCTGGTGTGGCTCTGTGGGTTAATGCTCCAGACTGCAAAGCCATTTGAGCTGCAAGGTTGGTGGTGCAAGCTCGCCAGCTGCATCTCAGAAACCTTTTCCAGTGTCGCTATGGATCGGAACCAACTCAATGGCATTTAATAACAACATCAAGTAAGATTCCTGGTGTGACACTGTAGGAAAAGCACTGGACTGCTAACTGCAAAGTCAACCGTTCAAAACCACCAGCAGCTCCTTGGAAACATTACACAGGGTTACTATGAGTTGGAACCAACTCGATGGCACTTAACAACATCATCAAAGTAAGGAGCCCTAGTGGCATTGTGGGTTAAGCACTGAACTGCTAACTACAAGGTCAGTGGTTCGAACCTACCAACCATTCCTCATTCCTCAACAGAAAAGATGTGGCAGCCTGCTCCTGTAAAGATTTACAGCCTCAGAAACCCTCAGGAGCAGTTCTACCCTACCCTACAGGGTCAGATTAGACTCAATGGCATCGGGGTGGGATCAGGAATGTAAAAGTAATTCACAGCAATAACCATAACAAACAGGGATTGAAGATTAAATTTCCATACAGTAGATATTTATGTAGTACCCATGACTGTGTCTCCAAAAGAACTGGAGGGAAAAAAACGGGTTATGGGTAATTAGAGTCAGACTGCAAAGTCATTTGAACTGCAAGGTTGGTGGTTCAAGCTCATCACCTGCTCCTTGGAAACCCTATACAGGATTGCTATGGGTCAGAACTGACTTGATGGCACTTAACAACAATCTAGCAGCAAGCCAGTAAGAGGTATAGTTATAACCACAAATACTACTATTCAGAGTTAACACTTAAAGATTGCTAAGGACTGTTTCTTGGGAGAAAGAAGAGGCTTTCTACTCCCGTAAAGATTTATAGCCTCGGAAACCCTGTACAGGGTCACTATGAGTCGGAACCGACTCCACGGCACATAACAACAATAACAAGGACTGTTTCTAGTGCTTTCTACAAATTAGCCATCACAACAGCCCACGCTTGTAACTCCTGTACTACATACTCTTTATTCACCTGCATTTTCATTAAAGCCTACACCTCTCCCAACTATGGTAAGAAACATGTACATTATTACGTCCAATTTACAGACAGGGAAACTAAGATTTGGAATAGTGAAGTCACTTGCCAAAGATTACATGCTTGTTCTTGTTGTTAATTGCCACTGTGTTGGTTCTGACTCATAAGGATCCCATATAGGGTTTCTGAGGAGGGGCTGCTAGGTTTGAACTGCCACCTTGTGGTTCAAGTCGACCTTGTGTTCTAGAACTTATCCTATAGCACCACATCAGGGCTCACATGCTAGTAAGGGCAAATCAAGGCCTCCAACCCCAAACGGGCTCCAACCCCAAAAGGACTCAACTCGAGGTCAGCTATGGACTTCAGCGATGGAGGTCACTGACTTCAGCAGTTGTCCTATCTTGCACTTAGGTCACTGGGAAGCCTTCCACAGTGCTGGGACTGGTGTAAACCCCCAGCAAACCTCCCAGGGTTGTGTTGTGCCCCATGAGTAGGTGGGGGGACATGGAAGAGGGAAGGACTCATGGTGTCAGAGACAAGAAGGAAGTGCACAGGTGACACATTGCAAATTCTAGGTTGCATTATACAGTGCTGCTCATCAGAACTGGCCACCT